CTTCTCTGTCCTTTACTTATTGTGTGACATTGAGTAAATCATGTGTCCTTTCGTAATTTCGTTTCCCTTTTAGTGTAACAGAGATTGAACGGTAATTCACAGAGATGCTTTGGAATGATGGCTTTGAATACCTCCCACATGTGAGAAATACCCAAGGAGGTTTCAAAACTATCAGGATAAAAACAAGGCAGTGCTTCGTTCAGAAATACACTTCTACCATCATGCACAATATCGTCCTGAGGACACTCGAGTCTGGTTTCTTTCAACTTCTGCAAGAAGAGCCTGATGTAGGACTGTAGGTGGCTTTTCACCAGCTAAAACTTTTCCTATAAATATCTGCAGAGAACACAAGACTCAAAATCTTTAGATTTGGGCAACATTTTATGAGAAGAAACAAAGAGCCCTGTTTTGTTTTTGTACAGTCATGAAAACATAGTGTTAGCAAAGTGGCCATTGGAACTGTATTGTTCAATATCCCAGCTGGGGATACACTTTCCAAGAACTCAGAGACAGTCATCTACATAAAAGACTTACATCACCCAATTCAGAATGCTGGCATGCAAATACCCCTAATGATAATTCAAAACTCTCATTTTGGCAACAAGAAACTCAGCTTCTCTATGGCACAGAAGCGTGTACCCCAAATGCTAGTACTGCAGGAGGGTACCAACTGGGAATGTAAACTCATGTGTGGTGGCATACAGGCTGAGAAGCAGAAATGTCCTGGCAGACCACGTCAAGGCTGTTCAAGCTCCATGGGAAATGGCTCCATCATGGACTCCAGATGAACCTTCATGTTCAGGCCTAGATGCTCCAAAGCTCTTAGATCTGGAACCTCCAGGCACCAACCAACCAACCAAGTTGTAGAGAGCTCTGATCATCTGCTGTTCACAGGCAGATGCTGAGGCACTGAACTAGATTCCTGAGCTGTAACAACAAAATGCCACACACCCAATAACTCAAAACAGCATCGACTAGTTACACCTCCGGGATTAGGAAGTCAGACAATGTTCTTGCAGAGTTAAAAATCAAGGTCTAGGCTGGGTTGCATTCCATATTCCAGAAGAGAACCCATTTCCTTGCCTTTTCCACCTCCTAGAAGTCTATCATCATCCTCATATTTTAGCATGTGTCCTTTTTATACCTTCTCAGGTAACTTTGATCTCATGACCTCCGTGTCTAGGATCGGTTCTTTCTCTGATGCCCTTGCCTTCCTCTGTCTCTCACAGGACCCTCAGTAATCACACTGGGATTTCCTGGATGCTCCAGGGTAACTTGACATCTCAACAATCTTTCATCTCTTCATGTTTGCGAAATCCTTCTGCCACAGAAATTAAAGTATTCACGGGCTCTAGAGACAAGGACTGTCCACCAGGCTCAACACAGGACTGAAGAGTGAAGCACCAAGGCCACTGGGTTGAGGCTGAAGGAGAGTGGAACAGGCTTGCTTTCAGTCTCGGAGCTGTTTTGGGTGTGGTTTGCATGGAATGTCAGACAGACGAACTGGGAACCTGGAAATAAGCAAAATCAATAGGCCCAGTGGTTTATGTACAAAAAAATTTCTTAGACAATATTTCATAGTTCTTTTAAAAGTCAGTGATAAGTGGGTTAAATTCCTTTTTGTTTTCACTTTTTTCCCCCAAGAAACAAAGTCCATTATGAGGGTTATAGCCACCAGAGGTCTTTTTTAACCTTCCTGGTCACTCCTGCACAGAGAAAAAAAAAATCAAGAAAATGCAGATCAGGTGTGACAGGATACCAAGAATATTACAAAGAGCTATAAAGGTCTCAAAATCCAAACTTCTCTCTCTCTCTCTCTGGAAATCTTTACCCCTTTTAATTAATCTATCATTGTCCCCCAATCATCTTTCCACTTTACAAAGTTCAGTAGAGTCATCTCATGTCAGGCATACTTTCCCAGCCTCCAGATAACCACCGGGAGAGCAGCGTGGTTTCCCCAGAGATCTGAGCTGCAGTTTAGGGACCTTGGAATGCACAGAACCAATCAGACTCCTCTCTGTTCAGAAACTTCTTTCCAAGATCTTCCACCCCTGTTGCACCTTCTCACAAGGTCAGAATTATACTAGAAATGCATGCTTGGAGCAGACTGTTCCAGGCAAACCCAGTCAGTGGATCTAACGCTAACCCCAGAAGCCTCAGGGACTTGAATGTCTCTAAGGCCCTGTCTTCCAGTCCAAAGCTGGAAGGTAGACCATCAGGGCAGGCAAGCTCGCAGCCTGTCTGGGTCCTTTCCCTTTGAATTAGGCTGTAAACACCACCATGGCAGTCTCCAACTTAGTAAGGATAAACAGGTAGACACAGTTGGCACACTCCCCACAGTGGCTGGCAAATCCCAGAGGCTCCAAACACCCAGTAATTGTATATTATGACTGCACTGGTCCCAGGAGCCGGAAGAACCTGAGAAGGAAAAGAATACAGAACGTGGAACTAATGACTTCCTGTTGTATTTGGCATTTTCGTAGAAAGAAACGCGGAATCACATCAAACCTTAATACAGAGACTTTTTCACCTTCCTCTTAATCAAAATACCAAGTTTTCTTCTCCATTGAATCCTTCTTGTGCCACACGGCTCCTACCGGGAGATGGTGGGTACTCAGCATGGTGAGGACAACGTCGGTTTGGGGGGAAAAAAGCCTGCGAGTTTTAAACCAGCTAGACCAGCAAAACAAGCAATTACCTGAAAAAACTCTGACCTCCCTAATCTTTTGTGTCTGACGCTGCTCAAATAACTCAGGTGAAAATGGGACGTCTTCTAAATTATCGCAAAATTGCTTCAGTTTCCTTTTTCTTGCTGGTGGGGATTTGGTTGCTTTGTGCTTTTTTTTTTTTTTTCCCTGGCTAAAAGGCATTTCAGGCAAGAGAAGCAGGGAGGACCACTGTCCCGTTCAATGGGGGAAGCGTGGGCATTAGTGCGATTGCGTGTGTTCCTCTCTCTGGGATCACTCCTCTCCGCCGACGCTGACACTGTGTCAGCCAGCTGCAGCCCAGACTGTTGAGGAAGAAGAGGGGCTGGCGTGACAAGAACACAAGCTGTGGCTGGAGACACCCGCTCTCCTGTCCCATCTCTTCTGCCGGTTTTGTGTAGAAAAGAACTTCGGTGTCGTTCCCGGCCCAACAGAGGCCAAGTCAATAGGATTATCGCGATCGATCGTCCGATCAAACAGCCTGGACACCGGTCATGCCTGGGAAATAAATACAAGCAGTTCTGTGTCATTTCCCCTTTTCGCCACCTGGCAAGGATGGCCATCCCGCCTTACTTTCCTGCAGCGTTGGTAGAATTGTTAACAGCGCTTCAGTTGTGTCTGCTAGGGCGATAAATTGCAAGCTTGCTCGGCCTCCAGGTGGAGTGGGTTTTTGATCCTGTTGTAATTCTCCTCTTGGCACCACCCTCCGCCTTTGTTTGGGGACTGTCCTGGCAAGCAAGGGAACAGGCCAGCTGAAGCGCAGGAAGGAATTTATGGGAAAGGAGGAGAGGAAGTTCTCAGAAAGGCAGGCCGGCCTCCCGAAGCCCAGACTTCTGAAACGGAAGTTACTCTTTTTGTCTCCGCGGGGCCCTGTGTTCCCCTGGTTGCTTCTCTCTGCCCATATGCTTTCCGGTTTTCAAAGACCGGCTTTCGCATACAGGTGGTCACCATCACCTCCAGCCCTCGAGCATCTTCTGTCTCCTAAATAAAAGAATTTTGAGGTTTCTCGTGGACACAAATGCTTTTGAAATCCATGCCGTGGGTCTAACATCTGCCTGTGACTAAAAGTCAGCTGTGACTGGGAAGGACAGAGGGGGCAGTGGCTTGTCCTCATTTTGCAGGCCTCTCAGGGCAGTCTCTCTAAAATGGGGGTGTCGGTGAAGAGTGAATGGGTGACAGAGAAGATGGCCCTGAAGTAATGCCACAATTTACACAGGCTCTTCCTACGGCTCACAGAGACACTCCACCGCGGCTCAACTGGAGTGATTGTCACCCTCCCAGAATCTAATCAACCCTGTGTTGGGGGACATGGAATCTATCCTTTGTCCTCAGGTGCTCACATTTGGCAAGGATATGAATGTTTTATCAATCATCTCAGGGACCGAATACCTGAAACTTACTCTTGCTAAACTTTTCCACCCAGTGACACTTGTACAGAGTGAAATTCATGCTCAGTGCTCTGGGCTAAAGCAATATAAAAATTCTCAGATTTAGCTTTTAAAATCGGTTCACATTTGCATTTTATAAAATCTAAGTGTCTGGTTTTATATAACTTCCCTCTGATTTTGGAGTGAAAACACTGTTCTCAAACAACACTTTGCTCAGCCCTATAATTTTACATTGGAGATGTTAAGAAAGGCCTCCTGTGAGGTTCCTGCAAGGTGACACATGTCAACTTCCTGGTACACACACACACACACACACACACACTTTTCTTCTGTTTGTTTTGTATGTAAATAGAGTTCTTTCTCCCTTCCGTCTTAATAACTTTCTCTTCAACCTTTCTTCGATCCTGTTAGTACGCTCTTGTCTCTCTAACTGTGTCTTAGTATTCTGGAGCCTCAGCAAACATAAACATAAACAAAGGCAGAGACCAGCAGGGCTACTGAGCATCACGCTGGATTCCTACGATTCTGGAAGGTGCTATTTATTCTCTTTCCAATGTAAACGAAATGTTCCTTACATTGGATTGTTCCTGACATCTGCCTTCCTCCCCTTTGGATTTCACGTACCATCTGGAAGCCAGAAAGGAAAGGGTTACCTGCCTAGGAGAGCTGCTTGTATAGTGTCTGCAGTTCAGGCTTGAAAGTATCTGACCACCCCACCCCATCCCACATCCTGCGGACTCAGGGGTCTCCTTAGGGAATCTCTCAGTTTACCCTTCCTGCCTGGCACTGGTTCTCACCCCTCTTCCCCATCACACTCAGATCTGGATCCTTGAAGCCCAGCTCCCGTGACCAGGCTCCTTTCTACTTACATGGAAGTTATGAAGGAAAAGCAGAAGCAGTTTTTTACCTCCTGTGAAAACTCCTGAATGAATTCGCCTCACGTTGATCCACAACTTGGTAATTTTTTTTTTTTCCAGTAGTGGAGGTTGAAGCCAGGACCTTGTGTTTTAAACACTCTATAACTGAGATTCAACCCCGAGGCCTTAGTCTCAGAACTTGGGATCCTAAGGGGTGTGCACATGGTAAGAAAGAAGCCCTCTCCGTATTCAGGGAGGTTTGCCAAGTGTTGTTCACCAACAAAGGACAAAGCACTTCTTTCTTTTCTTTTTTTTTTTCTTTTCTGTCTGCTTTGTTTTGTTCTTTTTGTTGTTGTTGTTTCGTGTTTACATTGTAATAGTCTTCATTGTTTGATGATCATTGCCAACTGTTATCTTTTATATGAATATAGATATAGTTACATAGATATAATTCTTTATTTATTTTTTGGGAATTTCATATCATGCACCCTAGTCCCGCTCACCTCCTGGTCCCTTCATATTTGCCCCTGCCACTGCAGTGCCCCTCCCCCAAAAGGAAACCAGCCCAAAATTAATTAAAAGCAAAACAAAACACACAAACAAAAACCCACCTCGCTCCTCCATCTTTCCCATCTCTCTTAACACCTCTTCATTCATCCTAGCGGCATCGGGAGTGGCAATGTGTCACCCATTACACCCTTTCTCCAATCAGCTCCACCTACAAATGTTCATCGCAATGAGTCATTGGTCTGGTTCAAGGCCCAACGCACACCATCATCATGGAACTCTCATTGAAACTCCTCTCGGATGTCCTACTGTTGCCCCGGGTCATGGAGATCCTGTGGCTGCTGGTCTGCAGGACCAGTCCCTTCACACACTCCAGCAGGTCAGAGATTGGGTAGATGCTAGGGTGGGCCAACCCAAGGCTCAGGATGTGGGTCTTGGTGGTAGCTAAGCTGGTCAGTCCGGGCCACTGGAACCTCCCTCCTCAGACAAGGTGTGGAGTCAGCTCTCCTAGGTCCGTGCCATAGGGGCCAGCTCTCCCATGCCCCATGTTGAGGAGTGGAACCATCTCTCCCTAGTTCAAGGGCCACCTCTCCCATGAGCAGCAAGGCCAGTTCTCCTGCTACAGTATCCATCAAGAAGCAGGACCAGCCCTCCAATTTCATCACACATGGTTCCTATGACCCCCTGTGGTAACTTGGGCCATGGACATCAGCACAGACCCCAGCGGCAGCAGAACCACAAACACAAACATGGCTCTTGGCAGCAACTCGGGCTAGGACATCACCATGGCCCAGTGGCAGCACAGGCCATCCAGATCAGTATAGCCTGGGCAGCAGCATGACACTCAGACACCAACATGGTCTTGGGTAGCTGAGCAGACCCTAAGCATCTGTACAACCTTTAACAGGGGCCATGGAAATCAACTCAGACCCTGGCTGCTTCAGAGCCATGGACCCAGACATGGCCCTAGGCAGCAGCCCTGGCCCACACTATACTATGCCCCTGGGTGATAGCATAGGCCTCTCAGGTAGGCATGGCCCTGGCAGCAGCAAGGCCATTGGACACCAGAATGGTCACTGGTTACAGCCTAGACCCTTAGCATCCATGTAGCCTTTGGTGGCAATATGGGTCATGAATGTCAACACAGAACCTGGCTGTAGTAGGACCATGGACCCAGAAATGGTTCTTGCAGCAGCCCCAGCCTGGATATTTCCATGACCCCAGGTGGCAAGCAGGCCACTCATATCAGCCTGTTCCTTACCAACTTCAGGTCTTCTGTTCTGCCCCTCTCTCTCCCATTTCTCCACCATATATTTGCTCATCATAATGGCACCTACCTACCTGGAGCCACAAGGTGCTGGGCAGACCTGTAAATGCCTTTAGCCAGCCTGGACTGTGAGGACCCAGCTGGTCTATGAGTGTCTTTCACCTGTCTGAGCCATATGGCAGCAGGCCGGCCTGTGAATGCCTCCTTTTCTGCCTTGATTTTTGGCTTTTTTTTTTCTTGTTTATTTGTGTTTTGAAAGAGAGAGAAAGAACATAAATTTGGGTGGGTGGGCAGTTGGGGGAGGGAAAGAATATGTTCAAAATACATTACATAAAAATATATTGCTTAAAAATTTTTAGAATGAATAGTGTACATACATAAAAGCCCAAAGAGAAAGGCTCACCCAATGCTTTCTCACCTTCTGAGCTATTTCAAGAACAGATTAGAGCAAAAACACACAACTCTAGTAATTCCTTAAAAGGCTGTAGATTCGAGGCTTTGCTGTTATGTCTACAGGGCCAGCATTTCAGCTGGTGGCCAGTCACTCCCCTCTTTGCCATCACACAAGGTGGCATCCTAAGGCAGAGACAGCAGGAAGAATCACTACTTGTGACATGCCTAACATCCTGAGGAGTGAGTGTCTGTGCTCATGGGGAGCTTCACTAGGCATTTACGAGACATATTTTGTTACTACAGTCTTATTTAATAAACCACGACAGGCATTTATTCTCATATTTGTAGGTTTCGGGATCAAATGAGGCTCAGATGATATAAACTGGGATTCAGGTTGGGCAGCAGGTGCAGGGCCCCCCATGTGCTGACTCTGAGTTCGCATTCACAGGCTCATGGCTCCCGGGAAGAAATCGGAGGCTTCTGACCTGAGGCAAACTGAACAAACACATGTCAAGATCACGTAAGCTGTGCTCACCAACGCTTCACCGGTCAGGTCAAGTAGAATGGCCAAACTTAAATTTACTGGCAACTAAGGATTGTACTGAATCTCCAAAAATGCAAGGAGTTGGCTGGACTGGGGAAAAGACTCTATGATGTCACACCCAATTCCACCATGAGCAATTCCCATCAGCAGCAATTGGTTGAAGGCTAGCAGCTTGGAATTGTGGGAAAGCTAATGGTGATGTAGTGTAACTCCCAGCCCTCAGAACCCAGGTGTGAAATCCACATATTTCTGAAAGATGGGGATAGAATCTGCAGGTTAGGGCTATCTCAAGAACCTTTAATGTCTTAGAGAAAATAATTTTATACATTTTCTGTGTCAGAACATGTTTATGGAGTTCATAAACCAATCCCTTTCTTTCATGTTTTCATTCATGGATCTTGAGTCTAGATTTGGAGCCGTCTGGTTAAAATCTTTTTGTTTGTTTTGTTTTATTGTCAGCTTGACACAAGCCAGGGTCATCTGAGAAGAGGAAACTTCAGTTGAGAAAATGTACCAGTGGACTGGTCTGAGAGCAAGTCCTCAGGGAATATTCTTGATTGATGATTGGTGTGGGAGGCTCCAGCACATTGTGGGCTGTACCACCCCTGGGCAGGTTATATAAGGTCCTGGGTTATTATATAAGGAAGTGAGCAATCCAGTAAGCAGCATTCCTTCGTGGCTTCTGCTTCAGTTCCTGCCTCCAGGTCCCTTGTATGTTGAACCGTAAATTCTAAGCTGAAATAAACCCTTTCCTCCACAAGTTGGCTTTGGGTCATGGTCTTTATCATAGCAATAGAAACCTAACTAAGAGTCACACATAAAGATAAGTCATTTGTCCATGGGGGAAATTTTAACAATGCTCTATTGAACAAGGTGGTGGTCTCCACACTAGACCTGCTTAAGAACAGCTCTAGAGCATAAATTAGACCTTCATTCCACTGCTTCCTATGTATGTTGACAATGCGTCTATTTTCCTCATCTCCAACATGGGGCTAATAATATCTGCAATGTGGGTAGTTTGGGGTTGAACAATCTGTGACACACTGCAGTGTTTACTTTATAAAGATGAGTTATTATACTATAGGCAACATGTAATCTGTTATCACATGTACTGGCTAGTTTTATGTCAACTCGACACAAGCTAGAGTCGTCAAAGAGAAGGGAGCCTCAGTTGAGAAAAATGCCTCCATAAGATACAGATGTAGGCAAGCCTATAGGGCAATTTCTTAATTAATGATTTATTGGGGAAGACTCAGCCTGTTGTGTGTGGGTGATGCCATCCTTGGGATGGTGGCCTTGGGTTCTATAAGAAAGTAGGCTGAATAGGCCGTGAGGAGAAAGCCAGTAAGCAGCACTTCTCCATGGCATCTGCATCATCTCCTGCCGCCAGGTCTCTGCTCTGCTTGAGTACCTGACTTAGCTCCCGCCCATGTTAACTGTGTTGTGAAAGCATAAGCTGAATGAACCCTTTCCTCCCCAAGTTTCTTTGGCATGATGTTTCATCACAGCAGTAGTAATCCTAACTAAGACACTACATCTTCAGTCTAAGTAGTCTGTGTTCTTTCTACAGTGTTTTCAATTTGATCTCCGAGCCTCAAATGATGTAGAGGACTTTTCCCAAGTAGAGTGGGAAGGGAAGATTGAAGGAATTCACATGAACCCAGGGGAGAGAGAGCAAAAGAAGGCAATGAGGGAGGGATTCTGTGTTCGGGAGACAGTGCTCCACTCTGCTAATGCTGTTCAATGGTGTCTGGCAGCTCTGATCTCATCAGACACAGGGAGGCAATCTATGTCTCTCTCACTTTCTAACACAGCCCATCATGGTGCCAGACTAAATAGCTTGTTAACTTGGGCAATTGTGCACCCTTCCCACGATTCCCTGGCGCTTTCCAAGTGGTCTATCAGCAAGTTGTCTCTCTGATACCACATTTTTAAAACAATGAACCACGTGGTTCTGTACATATTTGGATTACATTTTGTTTTTCCCTCTGTCAATGATTTATTCTTTAAGAGCTTTCAGGTCTGTTTTACTTTCCCAGAGTTCGGGTTTTTGTGTTTGTTTTAACCTCTGTAACGTTGATTAGTGTATCTTTATGATCTTAGCCAAATCACCGACAGGTATGTTGGGCAGGGCAAAGAAAGGTGCAGAATTCTCCTGAAGTCTGTCCTCCATGTTCTTTCGTTTGTTCATTGAAAACATGTTAAGTAAATCTTAAACGTCAGACCTCTTGCATGACACCAGAGACCGAGTAGTGAGAAAACCCTCTGACCCCGGGACCCCATCTTTGTAGAACTTCTGCTCTGAGGATGAGGAAAGGAATTTAATTGCATTCCTTTTGCTGGTCTCAAAAAGTAACTCCAGGTTTATTGGAAGAAAGGGTTTGTTTGGGCTTACAGTGCAAAGGCACAGCCAGCTGTGGTGGGAAAGGCATGACAGCCCTGGGCTGTCTGCTGGACTGTGAGATTGAACATTCACATTTTGGTGAATCAGGAAACACAACTGGGCTAGAAGTTTCC